CTAAGGCCTATTTGGGAGGGATTAGATTTTTTTACAGTAAATTAATTCTCATTTTCAACCACACATTTTTCAATAAAATAATATTTTCTATCCACATCAATAATTTTTTCTTCTTTTTCAACTACACATTTCCCATCATATCACTATTCAAAATCAATTTTTCTTCTAAAAAATAATTTTTTAAATTTATCTTCTGAAATTTAATTTTTTTTTAAGCACGACCAAACGTGCTTTTAGAATTAAAATGAAATACCAAAAATTGCGATATTTAAAGTATGTTAAAGGATACATTTGCATCGAGGTGGAAATTCATCAGAAGTAAAAAAAAAATTCCTAGTACGCCCACGTCTTCATCATTATTGCTTCTCAATGAAAAGATCGAGAGCTAACTAACGAGCTTTTGTGTGAATGAGATAGAAGTGTTAGCCAACAATTTCCCATTATTCTTTTCAATATAGAAACGAGTAAAGAATCAAGTTGCGAGTCTTGTTCTATTTAAAAGACATTAGATTCTTGTCAAAAGTTGAGTCTCGAGCACTAGCAATAAACTAATCACATATCAAAGGGGCTATCAAGAGGAGCAGCAATGAATTAAATAGATAAATACAAAAATTGTGAGAAATATGGGAGCATCAAAGTACCTAACAATTGAATGTAAAGACGGTCTAGAGAAAAGTCCCGTTGTGGGCAAGGAAAGAGAAATAAATTAACAAAGAATAATGACTTCTTAGGGATGAGATCAATTCACGGAATCCGCACATTAAGAAAACACTCTCGTGACGAGAAAGCAAATCATCAACGTAAATAACTTTTCCTTCAATAACTTTTCCCTTACGAGGTAACAAAATGTACCTTATATGTACACTTGAATATGCCAACTACAATTGGAGTTACAAGCACAATAATCAAACATCCAGCCCACACTTTATACATACGGAGGACATATAACACCTGGAAACCAAGATTACGTGACATATGGGACATTCGGATGGAGGAAATTGAATAGCCAATCTCCAATACTTTGACACTTCTTGGTACTCATGAGCTAAACTTTATGAAACATGCTCTAAGAGATTTTTAACTATCTTCTCATCCTACACGAAAACTATCATCCAAACCAAATAGGTTAGGCCGACTAGCCATAGTATAAATTATTGGTACGAAAGATCAAGATCGACCATTTAACTGAAGTTGATATTCGGCTAGTTATCCAAAGTCTCACGAACTTCATCAAGCGAAACTAGTTCAAATACACAACAAATAGGGAGTATAAACTCCAACAAAATCTTGAGAAAGTAAGATAATAGAATTTGAAAACACTCCACTTCAAATCACGTTTGAGAAAATGGGTGTCTTTGACTTTCTAAACAACAAAATCCCATAATCTAATGTGTACTTATGTATTCAGGAATGTGGGACCCTTTTCCACTCGTGTGGTCAAAATCTAGGAATTACAAAACGTATATAAAAATGGAAAAGTTTAAATTTTCTATAGACAAAATGTGTTTAAAATTATGGGATGTCGCCCGGACACAAGGCAAGTTAGTTGTTGAACGTAATGAATTTGTTGCACAGCTTTAAAAACAAGCAAAAGCATATTTGATTAAGAAATAATTTAAGGTTTAAATCATGAAAATGGCTAATCATTAGGCTAGGCAAGCTGGCTGTGTTGTGCCAACGTTCCTAGAAACGAGTACAAGCCGACTCAAGCCTAGTTTAGGAGGGGCAACCAATTTGGTCGTGCCATTTTGACAATCCTAGTCAATTTTTCTTCGAGGCTTGAGTTACTTGAGATATTTGATGGGATGATTAGACTCAATACTATAGTCGTTTCTGTATAAAAAATAATTTGTGCTTTTTATTTTATTTTAATAATACGATAAATCAACATTCATACACAAACGTAGACTTGCAAAGAGAATTTGATGTGCCGAAAGTGGAGGTACAACGAGAACAAATTCTTACAATCTAAAACTTCTAGGACTTTGGGTTTTGGTTTTGCTTGTTGGTCGGGAGATGCAATGTGGGAAATGGAAAAGCATCGGGCTTGGTCGAGGATGGTGGTTTCCGCTGACAAATGGGAGGTGCTAACTTTTGAGTGGTAGCTTTGGTGGTTACGACTCCAATGCTAGTCATGTTGGCTAGGGTCGAAAAAATTTGTAAATTTGGGTGACAAGGGGCAAAGAGGAGTGGGATATAGTGGGGAATGGGTCATAAGATCAATAGATAACAGTCGATCATTGAAATTTTGATTGTGAAATTGAAAGTTTATTTTGTGTGAGATATTGGGGATATCATATGTGTTTGAGATGGTGAAGATTTGTACTTAGTAGGTTCATTATTATACTTCTTTTTCATCTTCATTTTAAATTGAAAATTTCAGCTCAAATGGGTTTTTTTGTATTCACGAGAAAAGAATTTAGTACTCAGTATGTTAGAGATGGTTTCTCTTCATCATGGTAGTATAGGGTGGATTGTTTTGATATCGTTGTTGGAGGACGAGGACGTAGACGGAGAAAGTAGTAGAGTTTGTGTATTGTTTATTTTTGAAAAAAAAAAAAATACATTAGCTTTAACAAGATTAATATGTAATAACCTAATTTAACATAGGGTTCAAGTTAAATTAAAAAAAAAAAAAAATTATATACATTGTACATGTTTGGTTTAGCTACAAAAGCTGATTTAGATCTAAGGCCCTGTTTGTCTCCCATTATTTCAAAACATTGTTTAAGATTCTCCACCACACATTTACTCAATAAAATATTTTACATACAAACCAGTAAAATTACTTTATATTTCAACCACACATTCTCAAAAAAATATTATTCATTACTCCATTTCTTCTACAATAATGAGAAACAAGCACACACTAAATTAAAGTCAATAATTAATTTTAACTACAATTTTAATGACATCCATAATTTTTTAACCATACATTCCATCAACTTTTAAATTTACTAAAAAATTGATTTTTATCTAAATCAAACTAGAATGTTGTAATAAAATTAATAGAGGTTAAGTTACAATTTCATAATATTACAGACATTGTGACGTGATTATCACGAAGTAACAATTAATATTTAACTTTGACTAGAAAATATAAGTTAATAATAAGTTTACCTTAATTTTAAAATTGAGTTGGTTGATTCTCAACTTCAATATTATAGTTGCACGATCAATTTTTAATGCTAAATTATTTTTTTTTACATTTTTATTAAATCGTCACGTATTTCATGAAATATGTCCCACTTTAAATTTTTAGATACCAGCCCGAGATAAATAAAAATATCTAAGGGCACGTAAGAATCTTATGATAATTTAAAAAGGATGGGCGTCATTCAAGATTAATTGTACAATTATAATAAAATATTAATGACTAAATTGCTAGTTTTTAAAGATTAAAGATCAAATTGCTTCTTGCACAATAAGTGAGGACCAGTGCAAATTTCCCAAATAAAAAAAGCAAGGAAGGAAATCTTTTTTGAAATTCAAAAACACACGCGCAAATTCAAGAAATCAAGAAAATTTAAAACAAGAAAACGCATTACGAATTTTAATTCCCATTTTCAAATCATTTCAATCTACATAAATAATCTAGAACCGAGTATATAACTCTTAAAAATTTATGAAAAAGAAGCAAAACCTGTATGATGATCAGTCCCTCTCGGTAAATAATTCTCCGGCGACTGTGATCAAGAAGCCGCTCAATCTTAGGTTAGGTTTCTGAACCATCCATTGTGTTGTGGGGCAATGAAGTAAACTATTTGCTTCATTTCACTAATAGCGATTATATTGGAATTAGTACTGATTATTACTTTGCTTAATATGCAATTCTTTTTTTTTATTATTGTGATTATCTGTGTACATGCATATATTTATGTGTGGATGTATTTATCATATGTTTTTGTGTTCAATTACATATTGCTCACAATTTGCTTTTCATTATATTTATGTGTGTTTGTAGTTTTCCCTTTTTCTAAATGGAGACTTAATTTAAGGAAAATGGTTGTTTTGATGTATTACATGTGAATTTTGTATTTTTTTTCATCTTTATTTGAACGATTAATTTATGGGTGTCAATTTCTTGTTTTATTTTTTGAAAAACTAGTTTTAGATATTAATTAGTACTGGCATTGCAAGCAAATAGTATTTGTTAATTCAAGAAGTATTATTTTTATTATTGTTCTATGTTCATGAAACTTCTCGTGGGACAAGTTTTGTTCTTTGGTGGAGGACATTCTCCTTATTAAAATGGGAAAATGTAAATCAACTGAGAGAGGGAGGATAAATTAAGAACGGACGACTTGAGTGGTTGTGACATATTTTGTGTCGACTTAAAAAAGCTGCCCTTTCACGAGAGTGACATGATTTTAGTGAGCTGAATATGAAGTGTCGACTGAAAATTAACATTATCTGATATAATTGTTAACGATCTAGTTGTTTTAGATTTCCTAGATCTAGCAATAAATCGAATGGAACGATGAAAAATTATTCATGTAACAAATCTCAAACTTAGTGGCGTATAAGACTGAGTTTGTTTTCCTTCTTGTGTTGTATGAGGAGAGAGGAACTCTGTGGAGAGTTGTCGTAAATATTTAGAAGATAATTCAATTTATAACAATGGTAAAAATTGAAGGTTAGAAATACTGTGCACTATGATTTGTTTGCTTGAATTATTGAGGACGCCTACTATTAGTTAGAGACTTGATCATAGAAGTACGAAATTAGGATTATAATTTGTTTAGTTTCCTGCTAATATTCTTTGTAAAGTATAACCAGCACCTGAGATTGTGCAAAATAACCATTACTTTATATCAAACAAACATGATTTTTCCCATTGAGAAAGCCTGATGATTTCTTTCTTGACTCTTCATGTTTCTCATTTCTCCAGAAAAGTATTTGGAGTTTATTTGGCCGTATTCATATTTGTCTTCACATCCTTTTTAATTTATACCTTATGGTTTCTTTGTCCTCTTATTTCTAAGGAAAATTGATCAGCCATGTACGACCGCCATATTGATCCGAGTTTGCATATGGAAACAACTTGTGGTTCTCTCATGTCTGAGCTACAGGTTATCTCAAATTATTTGTCCCTCTATTTTATCTTTTGCTTGATATATATATATATCTTCTGCACAAGATTATTTGTTGATTGTATCTTCATCTTTTTATCTCACCATTGTTGCTGGAATCAGAAAATATGGAAGGAAGTCGGGGACCCAGACGAGGAAAGGGACAAAATGCTTTTCGAACTTGAACAACAATGTTTGGATGCATATAGAAGAAGAGTGGATCAGGCAAGCCACTGTAGAGCGCAGCTACGGCAAGCAATTGCCGACTCTGAGGCAGAACTTGCATGCATCTCGGCAACATTGGGTGAACAACCTGTTCATATAAGGCAGGTCAGAAGATAAGAAACAGAACATGCATTTTCAACGTTATTTGAAATCTTCACTAGAAATTTTCCGAGTAGTTGGCATAATTCTTAACCATATCTGCTGTTTGAGCAGAGTTTTAAAAGCTTGAAGAAAGAGCTTCAGGCAGTTATGTCTGGGCTAGAAGAGATGAGAAGGAAACAAATCGAGAGAAAAAATCAATTTGCGGAGGTTCTGAAACAAATACATAGTACCTCAAACGAGCTGCGCGGATCTGCAGAAGAGTATCCGTATACAATTGCTACTGAGGACGGCGATTTGTCATTGAACAGATTAGAAGATTTACGTAATCAGTTGCTATCACTGCAAAAAGAGAAGGTTCTTTTCCATTCTTCTTTCTGTTCAGTTTTGATTTTGTATTTATTGAAGTTCTTGTTGTTTGATAGGTTTATGACTGTTAGGAGGGTGACACTGACTTCTTCTGTAATTAAGTTTACTGAATCTATTTACAGAGTGATCGTCAGAAGCTGGTGCTCGGGCAGTTGAATTCTCTGAAATCTCTATGTATAGTTGTTGGGACAGATTACAGATTAATTATTCACGAGATTCATCCAACTTTGGACGATTCATGTGGTACTAAAAGTATAAGCGAAGATACAATTGAAAGGTTGTCTGCCACGATCAATAGACTTAAAGATGTGAAGATACAGCGCCTGCAGAGGGTTAGTGTTATTGTTTCATATATTTTTCCTTTTTGTTTCATAAAACCCTTTATCTTCTTTTCCTGACCCTCGTAGCTTTTATAGCTTCAAGGTCTTGCCACAACCATGGTGGAGCTCTGGAATTTGATGGATACACCGGTTGAGGAGCAAAAAACGTTTCAGAATGTTACAAAAAATATAGCTGCCTCTGAAGCTGAGATAATTGAGCCGAATATTCTCTCTCTGGATTTCATTAATCATGTATGTCATCGTGTGTTCTTTTTCTTATTAGGAAAGTATATTAATTAGCACCAGCACACGCAACTGACAATTGTTTATTATTTTCTTTATGTGTCCGAATATTGTGATCAATTAAGTTTTTGTCCTTGGTAGTAAAATATATGAAATGTTTCTTCTTTCCAGGCTGAAACAGAGGTTTTGAGGCTGCAAGAAATGAAATCGAGCAAAATGAAGGAGGTTCTCTTGAAGAAGAGATCAGTTTTAGAGGACATATGCAGGGGGGCACACATTGTTGTTGGGGAACAGATTTCAATAGATTTTTCTATTGAAACTATAGAGTTTGGTAAGAATCTCGTTCCTTTGCATTATAATAGAGGTAAAGATCTGGTTTGAGAAAACAAGATTGCAAACAACGGACGTCCTTGAGAAAACTGAAATCCAGCTGAATCAAAACATCCTTGTTAGAATATAACTAGACAGTCTAATCACTATTTATTGAATTTTACATTTTGCAGGAACGATTGATCCATCGTATCTACTTGAACAACTGGAGATTCATATTTCCAAAGTTAAAGAAGAAGCTTTTAGTAGAAAAGAGATACTTGAAAAAGTTGAAAAATGGTTGGCTGCTTGTGAAGAGGAGTGCTGGCTGGAGGAGTATAATAGGGTTGGTTATCTGTTGCTAAAGTGAAATGACTTGTACTGCTGTTTCCATCTGTTTTCCTCTCTCTCACTCTCTCTCTAAAATGATCCTAATTTAGGATGACAGTCGCTATAATGCTGGGAGAGGTACACATCTTATGCTAAAGCGTGCTGAAAAAGCTCGAGCTCTTATCAGCAAAATTCCAGGTACATATCTCTTTTTAATATAATTGTGGTGAGGTGGAAAATATGTTTAATTTCTTGGGGGAGTCATAAGTTGCATATGGTATATAATAGTATATGAGTAGCTTTGCCAATTGCCTCGGGTTTATTAATTTCCAATTCTGAGAGGCCCAAATAACCAATAAAACAATGCCAAAATCTAGAGAAGGGTGTCACCAATAATGTTACTTTTTACAACATTCTTTCATTTGTTTTCTTTTTCTTTTAATTTCGTGGTAAAACTATTCAACACCTTCGTCGGGAAATATCGAGTGGTTTGCCTTAACAGCTCTTACACAGGACAATATGTAGACCCAGGATGTTAAATTTAGTAATATGTCGTGGGGAGTTAGTTTGCTTTCTTTGAAATAGAGGGGGTCAATGAACAGCAGAGCGTCTGCTTTTAGAATAAATATTTGTTGATATCATTAAGTTTATCTTCCATCAGAATATCATGGAGGTACGATCATGGGTTAACGTGTATGATGAGAAAAGAATTTCATTTTTATTTTGAGATTCAGGGAAAGATAACCTATGATAGTTTATTTGATATTCTTATGGAGCATCATCACTTTTCTCTCATTTCCGTAGGTGTGTGTATAGATGTACTTAATAACTTTGGTTTGGTTGGTTTCATAGGGATGATGGAAACATTGAAGGCAAAATTGAAATCTTGGGAGAAAGAAAGAGGGTTCGAGTTCTCGTATGATGGTGTAAGCATTTCTCTTGTTGCAAATACCTTATTTGATACGAAGATCTTGTTAAGCCCCTGTTTGTTGTAGATTAAAATCAGATTTTTAGTAGATTTTGATAAAAGTTTGAAATGTGTGATTAAAAAGTTGTGGGTCTCATGAAATGTGTGGTTAAAATTAATTATCGATTTTGCCTTGAAATTAAAATCAGATTTTTATTTGTACCAAACAGGGGCTAAGACTTGCGGTTTTCATCTTAAAATATCAAGCTTATTAAGAGAAGTAGTACAAACATTTATATTTTGGTTTATATTTATTCGATAAGATATTTACCCCTTGATATGCCTCTTAAGATGGTGGTTTTTTTGAACAAATCAATCATGAAATTCAAGTGCTCCTTTGAGTCTTAAACAAATCAAATTGTTCGTTAAAAATTAATGGGCTCTGATACTATATTAAGCCCTTGTTTGGTGTAGATTAAAATTAGATTTTTAATAGATTTCGATAAAATTTGATAAAATATGTGATTGAAAAGTTGTAGGTTCAATGAGATGTGTAGTTAAAATTAACTGTTTACTTTGTATTAAAATTAAATTTTGATCTATACGAAACAAGGACTAAGACTTGAGGTTCCATCTTAAAAGATCAATATTGTTAAGAGAAGTGGCTCATATGTTGATTTATATTTTCATTTTTTTCAATGTGGAATTTATTCTTTAACACATCTCACAATTGTCTTTTCTTTAGGCAACCAATGTATATTGAACCACCTTATTTAAAAGTTTAAGTTGTTAGAGAGGAAAGTGTTTATTAATTTAATTGTAGTATTCATGACGCCTCTCACGCAAGGCAGATGAATTTTTCATCAAAGGTCTGACATATACGCAATTTCCATAAACGGGTGAAGACAAGACTTGAACTCAGAACCCTGCTCTGATACTTTGTTGAACCATCTTATCTATTATGGCTGATTTTTGGTTCGTTATCATCCAGGTTGGTCTTCTCTCAATGCTCGAAAAGTACTGTGTCTTAAAGCAGCAGAAAGAGCAAGAACGTCAGAGGCAGAGGGTATCCTTATTATTTGAACAAATATTGATGATGGATTTGTTTTGAGTTACTGCAACTAAATGTTATAACCATGAATGTGCATATTAGGACCAGAAGAAGCTTCAAGGACAGTTGATAGCAGAGCAGGAAGCACTTTTTGGATCAAAACCGTGTCCATCAAACAGTGGAAAGAAGAATTATAGACCTTCAACCGGAGGTGTGACAGATAAGAGACTTTCTTTAGGAGGGGCAGTTCTTCGAAATGCATCTACAAAGAAAGCTGGTCTCTCGTCTCATTCTCATGTGAAGCAGCAAACTTCATGCAGCCATAACCAAAGTGGTTTTAGCACTCACTCTTCTGGTAATATTTATTAGAAGTTAGAACTTTTCTTTTGATGAGTTCCTTTCATATGCAATGGTAGTTGGGATAAATGGTTGATGCTGAAACACGACAATTGTCTTACTGACTATGCTCTAATCCCTATTATGAGAGTAGCATTAAGCAAAATGAAATAAAAAATCTAACACCAGAAAACACAAATTTTTTCTAGTGTTTACCCTCGATATTTCCACTCATTGCTGCATGTTTTGACCACGAAGAAAAACGATTACTCCACTGATCACATGCCTTTCAATCTGTGTCTCAAAGAAAATGGCCCTGCATGTCCTATATATATGAAGGAATATTGAGGGAAGGAATATTGAGGCTATCTAATCCATGTATAGAATGTCGAAGTTTATAGTTTGATTAGGCTCTGAGCGTCCAACTGATGTCACCTGTGCACAAACTGCTATGTTGGGACTACTAAATCCTAACTATACATGTACGTGTCTTCTTGTATATGCTAACCAATTGTGTATCAATTGTTTTGGTGACAATTTTATGCAGTCAAGAACAACATTTCCGGTGGTAATTCATCAAATTTACAATCATTGCTGATTCGGAAGCCCCTGTCTCCTCTATCGCCGAATGTCGACTCTGCTAATATTCAGGATCAGAATGTGACAAGTGCAGAACTCCAGGATATGCAAAATGCTTATAAAACCCCAGTGGAAAGTCCAATGAAGAATGTTTCCAGTTTTAATGAAAGCAAAACTCCAAAAACCATGCCAATCACAGCGCTGGAAACTCCACCAACAGCGTCGATCAAAATGCAGACAGTCATGACCCCGGCTACACCTTTCCGTACTGAAGATGTTGAGTATTCTTTCGAGGAAAGAAGAGCTGGTTTCATCGGTCCTAAGCCACATTTGAAGTCCTCGCTGCCACTAGTTTAACCTATTAGAAGTCGACTTGGACAATGAGTCTCTCTCTCATGCCTCCCTCGTTAGTTAAGGTTTTCCTTGGTGATTCTAAATTTCACTAAAGTTTCTCTCTACCCCCATATGCCTCTTAGTTTAACCATTCGGATTCTTGTTCGGGTGACTTTTTTGGCTTCTATATGACTTCTCTTTTTTACAGTATAACTTGCAAAATGTTCCTTTGTTTTCAGTTGGAGCTAAAGAGTTTGTTTGGAAGGCCTTTTTTCAAAGCCTAAAAGCACTCTTGACCTTCAAAATGTGATTTTGTTTCAAATATTGATTGTTTGGTACTCTGACCAAAAAATAGCTTAAATAGTTGTTTCAGATCTCTTCATTAGCACCGTAAATTTACGAAAGGCTTATAAAGAAACCGATATTTACCTCATTTTAAATTGATTTTTACTTTTTCATAGTCATGTTCGAACATCATTAACCACTTATATTAATGTCACAGTCTTGTAGAGTTCACCATATTCTGAATAAGCCATAAACATTGTTGAACCTCATTGTAACATTAACAAGTGCTTAATTATTCATATAAAAAACTTAAAACCCTCAAATATTACATACACCAAGCTAGATTGAGCAATAAAACATTTTTTTGTTTGCGGTTTGTTTTCTAATTATTTTGGCACATAAAATCCAACATGCCTAACAATCTGGAATAATGGATAATCAATTCCAATTTTGAGTAGTTCCAATTTTGAGTAGGGTTGAGAAGTGGAACGAGCCGAACAAATTGAGTTGTGGGCTCAAGCTGAGTAACAAAATATTTATGTCAGTTGCTCAAGTTTTTGGCTCAAATTCGAAGAAAAAAAAATTGACGAGCATCAAGCGATTCATGAGTCAGCTCATTCTAGAGGTGAGCACGATCAAATTCACATACTGAATCTTGCCAAGCCCGACAATGAACGGATCTAACCGAGCTGCTCGATTACGTCCATTTAACCACCCTGACCTTTAATGCTTATATCTTGCACTTACATTAAAAAAATAAATGAAAACGCCAAAAAATAAATGAAAATGAAAGCAAAAGCAAAAGACTCATTTGTCAGCAGCAACCTTTGGTGCCCTACATTACTTTTCAGCTTTAAATAGAAAAAAAAAATTAATTTAAATGTAAAAGAAACTTTTACTTTTTCCCATATGTTCCCATAATTTACTTCAAAATTTTAATAAATCAGCTAGGGGTGGCAACGGTTCGGCTCGGAATCTGTTCGACCAAAATCATAATTGCACCACCAATTTTTTGGCCATACCATAATCACACCATAATCACGAAAATCGGTTCGGTTCAATTCGATTTAATTCGGTTAATAACCACAAAAATAAATTATTTTTTATAGGTCCAATCGTCAACTTGAAAAAAAAATTTACGAAAAAAAGTCAATGAAAATTAATAGTACTAGTATTAGATATAAAATTATATATAGAACCAAATTTTGTTTCTCATTTTAGATACATACTGCATATGGTCAAGTGAACTACACACATCTAATACATTAAAGATGAAAATGGTAATATGCTTATCTTTGACTCGTGAACTAAAACTATTCGTGCAAGCAAAATACAAGAAAAATCAAAATACTAAGAAAGGCATTTATAATGTCAAAGTTGTAATAATTAATATATAGTAACGTCTTATTTTAAATTATAAGAAAAAATAAAATGTTTGCAATAATCAATTATTTAAATCATATTTGTGTTAGAAAACTTGATTTTCCTTAATTTTTCACAATAAGATGAAAAGTAAATCTATAAAATTACTTTTGAATTTATTAGGAATAACTCAATTTTGCTTTATTTTTTGGTACAGTTAGAAAATCTTGAAATTTCTCCATTTATGCCAAATTTATTACCAGTTACCACTCACTGCACTTAATTTTAGTACAATCATAGCCATTGAATTCCTAACAATCTATGAAAGGGAAAATCACGACCGTAGATGACGATTCTATCACCCCATGAGGACGGTAGAGCCAAAAGAAGGAATAAAAATTTCGCTTCTACTCTCCAACTCATTATTTGAGTAATAAATTGATCTCTAACCTTTGAAGTAGAAAATTAATATTTAGTTACACAATATTCTCAATATGAAACATTTAAATTTATATAAAATTGTC